ATCAAAACGTACATGCGTTGTCATTCTTGAGGACAGGATGGAATGATTCTCTGGTTCTCGTAAATTACCATACAGCAACATTATGCTGATATTTTACGCTGGTATTCAAAACCTGATAATAAGTGGATGTTATAAACTATCTATCAGTAATTAAGGATTAAAATTTGATTAAAATTTCTATTTAAAATGGTTCCTTACCCCTGCAGACTCTCGTCTCTTTCAATACGAAACACAGCAGCATTTTTTTTTTGCTACGCTGCTCAGCAAAAAAGAAGACGCGATGGGTATATTCGCATCAAACAGTCAAAGTACTTAATTTTTTCATTAAATTAACTTGAGATGTTTAGAAGTAATATAATTAATAAAAACACTTCCATTACTTACGTTTAAAATAATGTTTGAGGTAAAAGTATGAAATTGCCGTTTTGTATTGAAATATCACACACCTTTATTCCTGGGGATCTGGAATTACAGTCTATTTTTCAACCTACTTCAACTTTTTGAAATCGGTTGAAAAATAGGAGAGGTTTACAATTCGTCGGAATCTTTTTTTTATATATGTACACCGATTACTCGAAGACGCCTGAATCGATTTGGAAAATTTCATTTCAAAGGGTATAATTCCAATTCAATTTTTATCGAAATCGGTCGAGCGGTTTTAAAAAAATCAACAATAAATTATATTTATATTGAAGTCGGTTGTGCAACATTTTTAATAATACCACTTGTTTACCATTTATTTAAGCATTTTTTACGTAATAATATTTGTTTTCCTTGTAGGAAGTTGTTCAGATTGCGAAAACAATGAGGGCTAATAATTTTCTGCTCACCAGATGTCGCTAGTTGACACTGAGGTAAGTTTTTTTGTTAGACAATGTCATTTAATTGAGAAATTAGTTTTTAATAAAAGTTTATTAGTTTCTAGAGTTAGAGAGGTTAGAGAGATTATATTAATACACAAAACAACGCCTCAGTGGTTTGATCTTTATTTTTTGCACATTTTTAACTTTTTCTAAATATTTCTACTTTTATGAATATCAGTGGTTTGGTTTATTTATTTTTAATCTTATTAATATAAAATATAGCTAATAGTACAGAAAGAAATAATACTTTTTACATTTTCCAAACACATTAACTTCCTCGCTATGAAATCTATCAAATATTATACCACATTTTTAAGTGGCGCCGCCCTGGTGTCAGAAAATGTCGTGGATGCCCTCATTGTATCTAATCGGTTGGAGCTCGGTCTCACAAGTACTAGGATGATGTTTGGTTTCTAACTGCAGGTCTTGTAATGTTAAAACGGTTTATCGAACAGTGTAAGGTCTTGCGTTATCATAGAGCAATAATGGCGAAGACCGATTGACGAGTCTCTGATAGTTTCGGCATTATTGTTCGGAGTTCTTTACAATATAAATCTATAATCTAAATACAATATATTAAAAGATAACCCTGTTTTATTTCATTTTCATTTTTCTTTTTAAAAACGTCACCCCCACACTAGGATTTTCTCCTGTGTCGTGGAGGCAGTTTACAAATTGCACGAGGATAAACATCCAGACCCAGAACAATTATTTGTAGACCATACAAATACTTGTTCCGTGCGCGAACCCGCGGCCTCCAGTGCATCAACTCATTGCTAAGCCACTGCGCCACGGAGCCGTCAGAAAACTTACTCCCCATAGTTTCAACCCATAGGAGTGGGATTGTTTCTTAAAATTTAGTTGTGACCAAGCCAGAAGTTTATCCAACCTATTTCATAAAAAGAATCAGATCTGATCACAATGGGAGCTAAAAAACTCCCGTTCATTCATCATCATCCCGTACTAGTTGGGACCGAGAAGATTTATCATACAAAGCCACATCATTGAAAAGTGGCGTTTTAAATAAGTAAGTTTTCCGCTTTTAAATAAAGAATAAATGTAGATTGTACACTAAATGATGCTTCAGTGGTGTGCTCTCTAATTTATTGCACATGTTTTTTTACTTTCTTATACTTTTAATAATATCCATAGTTTAGTTTATCCAGTTCTAACCTAATTGATGCTAAACTAATATTTCAGAAAAAATTATTATTTTAAAACTTTACTAACAATTTTACTTCCCGCCATGTAATTTGACAAATATTTCATCTTATTCCAAAGTGGCGCCGCCCTGGTGGCAGAAAAAGTTGTCGAAACCCTCACTGACAATGATATCGAGTAGCATACTTAATAGAAGAACATACAATTGAATAGTGAACCTGCTATTTTTGAAGTCAAGAATGGGATAGGGTTGAGAAAATAATTTAAAAAAAGAGATAATAAAAATTAAGTTTTATTTATTATAGACTTTTTTAATCAAAGGTACACACATCCTATACTTTCATTCTGCGCACATTTATTGAAATAGGTACAGTTAGAACAGGTTTTCAAACCAGATATTAAATTTTTGACAATTTATTATTGGCGATTATGTATCTCTTATGTATACGATGACCACACGTAACTTACACGACTAGCTTTATTTTAGTAACAAGTTTAGTTTGAATGTTGAGTTACAAAAACATTCATTACATTAAGATTCTAAGCAAAATGTTCTAAAAAAAGCTGCTACAACTTCGACACAGAACATAGAAAGAGATTTAAGCGGTACGAATCAATAACATGACGCAATACAGTGTGTAGTTTAAGTAATTCTATAACAGCAAATGTAAAACTCCGTGAGGTGAACAAAAAAATTATACAACAAAAAACGTAGAATTATTTACAAAGGATTCAGAATCTATCAAATTTTTAAAAAGTAAGTGACACCACACTCACACCTTACAGTGATATCTAAAATTAATGTACGATTCACACCAGACGAGACGCACAAAACACATATAAGATTACTTATAAATAACGTTAACAATAAGTTCACAACTCTCAAACACGTACCCCGTGGAAGAGGACAGATAACGATTGTACTGGAACCACACATAGAACTTTCATCAATCTATTAACAGGATATATTTATAAAAGTTAATTTTTCAATGTTGTACAAACAGACATTACTAAAGTGGTTACCAATTTCTGTCTTTAATTATCTGTTTATATTTCATTTCGTGTAAAAAAATTGTGTACAGGTTTTTTATTCAAGATAGATTGGCTACAGCTGTTAAGTTAATCATTTGTTCAGTAACTCAAAAAGACCTGTTTATGTATAACAAAAATATTTAAGAAGTGAATTTTATCCGGATTTTGTCTGCGGATAAACATATCCGGTTATACCTAACGGCGCTGTTAACGCTTGATCGTACCTCGATCGTGTTTCTCGATTCGAATTAGTTCGGGAGTAAGCTTCTAAAATCTGATTCAAAAAGAAAACTGGACGTCGTCAACGTCAATAGAATCCAAAACCGAATCGAATTTAAAAACAAATTCATGAGTCTGCTAGTTTATTCAAACAAATTAGTTGCTACCTACAACTGTTGGATATCTTTGATTCTCAGCATTATATTGGGTAGTCTCTTATCTCGTTTTTTTTTTAAATCGTGAGGTTTCGCTTTTCGATTATTACGGGTAGTTTTATAATTGTATTATTGATTGGCCTTGACTTCGTAAAATGTTATTGTCATTCTCAAAAAAGTTAAAGTTACAACATACTATTGAGCACGGGCTTCTTGTCATTCTATCATGCATTTTACAATATTCTGCCAGGCACAACTACATTTTGCAATTTACTGTCGCTTACAAACCGATAAGACTTAGGGATCTTCAAGAAAAAAACGTACTCCTTTCTTAAAGGCCGGCAATGCACCCGCAATTCTTTTGGTGTTGCAGACATTCATTCTTCACTTACAATTAGGTAAGCCGTAAACTATCTTGACTTCTCTTCTATAAAAAAATCTGAGTAAATTATGAAGCAATTAGTCGACCGTGCTGCTCCAATTGGAACTATCTAATACTATATATTCATGCGGTACTATAACTAATACTATGAAATCTACGGCGAGTGCACAACTATTGAGCTTGCACGGCTCTAGTAATAATTGAATAAAATTACAATAATAGGTATAGTTAAAATACTAAAAAAAAGGGCCCAGATGAAAAGTGGAAGGAGGACACGGTACGACAACGGATCGGCAACGCAATGTTTGTTGGTAGCGCAAACATTTGTCAACAGCGTCTCAACGTTGCTAAGTTGTTGTAAGCGACATTTGCGGTGCATCACAACTCTGGCCGTGCGGCGACTCAACGCACCAGTAACGTCCGTGTGATTTCACTCTTAGTTAATCATTTAAATCTTTCCAATTAACACTTTCCTTGGGGATGATCATTACAGTCCTTCAGTGAAATCATGAAGGACTGTAATGATTATGCTGATGATGATGACAATTATGATGATGTATAGCAGGGTCATTATAGTCTGTTCTAAATAAATTTATATAAATTTAACTCGTAACTCTAAAATCACATACATTTACACATCCGCCCTCCGCCAAACGTGATTCGTACATTACAATGAGCATGAGTTACATTAATTATTATTAGTTATGTCATTATGTCGATTATTAATCGAAACAGGTTATAGATATATAGAATGGATAGTTGTCGAAGTCTCGCTAACACTTAAAGACATCAGAAACGAATAAGCAAGGCAATATTGCGTCTAAAGTATTTATTTTCAAGTGTGAGATCAAAATTATTAAAAAAAATATAAACATGTTAAACTAAATCTTAGAATAGTTCATTCAACTAAACACGTGTCATTCATTCATTCACTATATTATGATTTTTAAAATGAGCTGTATGAGTTGATGTAATTTAAAAATATTTGATTTAACCTCAATAAACCTTTTAATACATTTTAGGTAAAATAAAAAAATAAAAAATACTCGTAGTTCCTATATATTTATATATCCTACAGGGCAGAACACCGATAGCTAAATCCATTCTTTATACCTATGAAACATCGATTATTAGACGAATATGTACATTGCATTCGATTAATAATCGATACATCACGCATTTAACGGCCTAGTAATCAAGTGCCCACTCGTTCTCCTGCAAAAAGGCATCCACCACCTCCTTCATCGTGAAGTTAGGGATAAGCTGGTCCGCTGTTAACTTTACTCGTGTAACTGGATCAAAATGGCCGACCCGCTGAAACAATTAAATCGTAATTAATTTTATGAGATAAAATTGCGAATGCGAATGGAAATGGGTCTACTAGTCTGGAAAAGGACCAAGCTCATACTAAATATCGGCGTAATAATGTTGTTCCGTGTGTTGAGTGTAGAGAACAGGAGACCCTTTTGACTGGTAACCAAGCATTCCATCTTAGTCCTCAGGGGTGATAACGCATCTGCATTTTGATACTTAATCGAAGACAGATGTAGATAGTCTGAGAGATGGCGACAAATTTCGGGAAGGTCCTTTGAGCAAGTTGAAATTGTGAAAAAATATAATTTCGTCAATTGGCGAATCCAGCAATACAACAGAATCCCAGAACATGTTCGAAGTTTGTTAATAAACAAGTTTAAAAGTTTTATTAAAGAAAAACTGTACAAAAAGGGTTATTATAATATCAAGGAATACATGAATGAAAATAACCCCTGGGAGTAAGGTGATCGCCACCATGCTGGTTCTATGAAAATTCATTTAAAATTGTATAAACAAAATTATTGTTAAGTGAAATTATGTTTAAAAAAAAAGTCCCGCTGGGTTTCTTGCTGGTTCTTCCCAGGACAGAGGTATTTTCCGAACCAGTGGTAAATAAAATAATGACTTTCAATAAGTATTATGTAATAATCCATATTGAATAAAAATCATTCTATTCTATTCAGCCCCGCGAGTCTGGCAGAGTTTGCGGTTATTTCGTTACTGCGCAGCATATAACATTTGCAAAAAAAATTCAAAAAAAAATGTTTTTGTGGCAACTTGATTTCTTTTTTTATCTTTTAATTTAGTTTTTATATATTTTTATAGGAGATGGGGCAAACGAGCATGCGGCTCACCTCATAGTAAGTGACTGCCATGCACAGTGAAGCCCATGAACAACCGCAACACCAGGGGAACCAGGGGAATTGCAGATGCGTTGCCGGCCTTTTAAAAAGGAGTAGGCTCTTTTCTTATATAATTCCAAAAAAATAATCTAGACGTTTTTGTCGGTTTAAAAGTATTACCAGACCTCTCCAAAAATATTTTTTTTTAATTCCCAAAGAATATAATTTTGACAATCTCGATTTTTAATCACGTATTTATTGAGTAATTTTTAATAATACCTGCAAATCACCAGACGAATTTAGCGGTTTTAAACAATTCCCAGGCGTGAATAAAGTTTACAAATGAATACGACAAAAAAGTCTTATGCGTAGCCATAAGTGCGAGAAAGAGCTTATCGAAGCATGCGGACAGCGGATGGGGGCCTTTTAAATGGGGCCTCTGCAATAAGAATCTGAACATGGGCCAGCAGTAGAATTAAAAAGATAAATAAAAAAGATAGAATAAGTAGGTAATAGTCAGTTGTTGAAAGACTGCAACGATAACAATGATAATATGGTTATTTTTTTATTTTTTTGCAAACTTGTAAAGCATGTGATAATAAGCATACAATTATAAATAATGAATATCTCATGCAATATTTTTATTTTATTTAAATTTCACGTAAGGCGAGTTTTGTTGGAATGCCGCAAAATTTCACCAAGGTCATTCAAAAATTTTAAAATCGTTCCTACATCATTATCACATAGAAAAGTACTATACATGATAAAGTATAGTATACAATGTCATTAGTTATATTCACGCCTAGCTAATTAACTTTGAATGAAATCTTAGCCAATTAGTTGTAAAGGTTTTTCGTAAAGCCAACACCTACCTAATTCTATTAGCTTGTTAATCTGTTTGCCATTGAAAGTTTTAATTTGATTTCAGTTGAATGAAGATTCATTAGTTTATATGTGAAATATATTCAAATAAAAGAATACATAGATTTTAGTTTAATTTGTTGGCCATCTTGGGTTTTGCTAGATCTAATCCAAGACTGTGGCAATCTAATATCACTATGCAGGACTGTCTAGTACTGAAATCTCCAAAATAGAACTTAATTCTATTAACCCATTAATATGTACATTACAACTAAAATTCTTACAAAATAGCTCGAAGCCCAATTGAAAATACACAAAAGAGCCGTTGTTTTCCCTACTTGGTGATTATAGGTAAATCTTAGGAGTCTTATGTACAGCTATGGATTACCTATGATGATAATGATACCTTGTAATGTGCAACATATTTTTTTAAATAATATCATCATCATCATCAGCCCTTCACAAGTCCACTGCTGAACATAGGCCTCCCCCAAGGAATGCCACAAAGCACGGTCCCGAGCCACCGGCTTCCATTGACTTCCTGCATGTCTCACCAGGTCGTCACTCCATCTAGTTGGGGGACGCCATACACTTCGTCCGCCGGTACGAGGCTGCCACTCGAGAACCTTTCTTCCCCATCGGTTGTCGGTTCTTCGAGCTATATGGCCGGCCCAATGCCACTTCCGTATACTAATTCTTTGGGCTATGTCGGTTATCTACTGCAGATATCCTCGTTTTTAAGTCTATCACGCAGAGAAACAGCGAGCATAGCCCTCTTCATAGCTCGCTGAGCGACTTTGAGCTTCCTCATACGGCCAGTAGTGAATAACCACGTCTCAGTTCCATAGGTCATCACTGGCAACACACAATGGTTGTACAGTCTCGTTTTCAAGTTTTGAGGTATACCTGACGAGAAGATGTGCCGTAATTTCCCGAACGCTGCCCAGCCCGAGTTGACTCGGTCGATTGACCTCTCAGTCGAAGTTGGATTTACCTAGTCGGACTATTTGTTCCACGCAAACATATTCGTCAACAACTTCGAGCTTAGTGCTCCCAACAACTACCGACATAGGTGTGACATGGACATTAAACTTGATTTTTGTTTTATACGTGTTCATCTTAAGACCTATCCGTTGGGAGACACTATTGAGGTCATTGAGCATAGTGCTTAGGTCGTCCATCGATTCTGCCATAAGGACTATATCGTCAGCAAATCGAAGGTGAGTGATGTACATAATATACGAATATATAAACAAACATAAATCTGGTTGAATCTGAAGGACAGGGTGAGAAATTGTGTTGCAAGATGTTGTGACCAGGATTAAGAAAGGAATGCTTCTGTGATTTGTTCATGTGGAAAGAATGAACGAGGTAAGAATAACAAAGCAAATCTATGTTGCAGAAGTGAACGACAGAGTCAGGAAGTCACGCCCTAGACGAAAGTTTTTCGACCAAATTGGCGATATATTGAAGATGGACCAGATTAAGATACCCTTAACCAACGAGCATGTATGGGTGGATGTAAAGAAGGCGAGAGAGGTATATCAGTATCATGCCAAATAGAAGTCTCTGCCTACCCCTCTGGGTGAAAGGCATGTTTATACAGTATATTTTACCTATTGAATAAAACTAATTTTACGGATTTTATCGCATTTATTATTTTTTACTTTTTTTAATTTCCTGCGCTTCCTGGGCGCTGTACAAAACTGACGCTCTGGGAAGTCAGTTGTTCAACATGTTCACGATCGTACCAACCATTACATCAATTTGATAGACCACAAATCCTTGCAAAAGAATATGGAATCTTAGACCAAGGATGATTCGCAAGGCTATTATAGTATAAGAAAAACACAGCAACAATTTACAATGACATCAGGACTATAAAAAGTCGGCATTTTTTTTTTATTAAAAAAGTTTTAACTAAACGCGATAAAATCTGTAAATATTGTTTTATCCTCTATGTAGAATCCGCGTAAATTTAAGAAATATTATATTTCACCTAAGTACTAATTGACTGGTTGATTGATCAAAGGGAGACACTTTTCGGAAACAAAAACAGAAACTTTTTTATTCAATGTAGATTTCAATGAAGATTATAAATAAAACTTAATGAAAGTCACTCTTAATTACCGTTCGGAAAAAACCTCCGTTCTGGGAAGAACCAGCAAGAAACCCAGCGGGACTTTTTCTTTTTTACTTACAAGGATATGACATGTGAATTTAAACATACCTCGAGATGTTCCTCTATATCCTTCTTCTCATATGTTATCCCACTGGGTGTAATAACAGGTTCGTTAAGTATTTCAAAACTGATCTTTCCACACAAATAGTCTGGCACATCTCGTTTCTGCAAAAGTAAAACATATAGCAAAAAAACAATGCAAATTCAGTTGACACAATGCAGCAAAGAAGTATCAACAGCATGAATATTCAAAAAATGCTCACCCTTCGTCTCTCGTCCATTTTGGAAAATAAATTATTCAACTCACTGCTGTAGTTATTCTGAAAAATAAACAATGAAAATTGCATCTAATTACAATATACATATTTATTATCATACTTTCCTATATATTAACAAACAACTCTTTTAACTATACTATATAATATGTCAACATAGAATAGTTAAAAGGATATATATACATATTATATATCGATTCTAAATATGTCAACAAGATCTCAAAATACATTGAAAATAATCAACTTAGTTTTACCTAATTTTCTATTCCCTTTTCAGGCTACTCCCCTAGTATGACTAGGTGGTTTTTTTTACAATAACTATTTGATTTTAGCTGCATTTTCATCTAAAAACCGCCAACATCTTTTCCACCGAGAAGCCTCAAGACAAGTTGTGACAGACCAAAGACCGGACATTGGCAGAATTATTGTGACCTAACCACAATAACAAAGGCCATATTGAAGGAAAAAATTATATAGATTTACTTTTAGGGCCTTATAGAGCCATTGTAATTCAGAGGCAAAGCGCAAATTTACAGTATGTGAGCAACTAGGCCTCGATCCCCACCGCCACTAATGAAATTGTAAATTGCAATTTTAAGTGTTGATTTACCACCTGCTAAGGGGAGAATGAAAGCATCGTGAGGAAACCTGCATGGCGGAGAAATTAAAATAAAATTCGAAAACATGTGAAGACACTCATTGTGGCAGCGCGGCCATTTTTTTTTTGTAGGTCACTATTATATTTAGATTAAGAATTAAGTAAATAATTATAAATTTTTTTGTGGCATACGGTTATTAATCAAAAAAAGATCAACATAATCTTGACAAATTTCGAGTGTGTAGGTCTCAAAAAATTACCAACAAATTTGTATGCCGATGCATTTTTTATAAAAAATATATATTTTGCAAGCCCCAAAACAAAAATCAGCTTGCTATTAATAAATTTTTTCAAGTCACAATTCTGACATGTTAGAGCTGGGGGTCACTCGGAAGGTACCATTCACTTTGTATGCCACAAGTTTTTCTCAGTTTTCCATCGTATTTTCTCGAAGTATTGATTTTTAGAAACTGTTATTAAGTGGCGAAGCTTGCGAAGTCACTTATTGATTTCACGATGTCTGTCCGTCTGTCCGTCTGTCCCACGATTATCTCGAGAACGGTTTCGAATCTTCAAATTCTGTTTTCAGCAATCGATTACTGATCGGATGATAATAACCCCTGGAAATGAGGTGATCGCTACCAAGCTATTTCTAATTTGTTGTGTTGTTAATTTGTGTAACATCATGATTGTAAGCTGTTATTTAAAAAAAAAGTCCCGCTGGGTTTCTTGCTGGTTCTTCCCAGGACAGAGGTTTTTTCCGAACCAGTGGTAATCAAACAAAAGAGTGATTTTCAATAAGTATTATTTATAATCTATATTGAATAAAAAAAGTTTCTGTTTCTGTTTCTGATCACCCAGGCATCTGAACCTCCTATTTTGAAACTGATTGCTCAACGGCAACCGTTAGAAACCGCTACAAAGCTGATTGCTTCGCCACTTTGCTATGCTGTTAGCTTGCTAGGTTTATTATTTAATTTGTGACACTCATCAAATCGACGTGTTTCGCTCCCTATTGCGCTTTTTCCTCCCACTATCAGAATTCGGTCCAATGATAAAAGTTGGGTGTCTCGTCAAAACGAAGCTGTGTATAAACTTTCAGCCTTTTATAAATCACTGAAATTCTTTGTATGTGGGCCCGTGGACTAATTCATACTTTAAATAGAAGTAACAAATACAAGATTGAAAGTAACTAAATTTTAGAATCAGTTTTTAAAACAAAGTCCACAAAATGTTCGATGTTTTGAAGTTATACTTCTTTTGGGGCGTTTGGGAAAAAAATGAAAGTGATTTTTTTACAATACGCGCACACACCGACACCGACACCTAAAAAGGACACCATGAAGTTGTTACGATGCCTAAAAGCGACAACTTCAGTTGGTGATTGTCTCTCAAGATTTTTTGTTTTGTTACGCTAACGAAGTATAACTTCCTACGTGCGTACATAAGTACACACACACTTTATTTTTATTAAACAAGTTTAAAAACTTCACTAAATAAAAACTGTATAAAAAAGGTAATTATATTATTAGGGAATCAAACGAACTAACAATCCCTGATGTTAAGTGGCTACTGCAGTCCATGGACATCTGCAGTCAATTATATACACTGAAGGTTGCAGATGAATTGACCCCCGAGTAAAAATAACCCCTATGTGATGAATGGTTTGACGGCTCCGTGACGCAGTGCTTAGCTTAGCAATCAGTTGTTGCGCTGGGGGCCGCGGGTTCGAATCCCGCACGGAACAAGTATTTGTATGGCCTACAAATAATTGTTCCGGGTCTGGATGTTTGTCCTTGTGCAATTTATGTTTGTAAACTGCCTCCACGACACAGGAGAAAATCCTAGTGTGGGGGTAACGTTTTTTTTTTAAAGCATAAAAAAAATGGTAATAAGGTGATTGCTACCATTCTAGTTCTATTATAATTCATATAATATTATTGTAAAAAAAAATCTTGTTTCTTTTTTTGGTTTGGTTGGTTTCTTGCCTTTTTTCCCCGAACAGGGGTATTTTCGGAACCAAGCGTAAATGAAAACATGACTTTCAATAAGTAATATGTAATAATCTATATTGAATAAAAAATATTATTTTCTATTATATTATATTCTACTGTCATTGTGGACATATCTCCGATTTTGTCCCAATACGAGTATATACTATATAGCTACCGTCATTATTCTGAAGATGCCGCCATGGTACGCGTAAGAGAACCCACTGACCTATGTCGTCCCGTGAATGTCGTAAGAGGCGACAGAGAAAAATCAAAACAACTCAAAATAATTAAAAAACTTCAGTCGCCAACTCGCCTGCCAGGCGTGACAACTATGGCCAATATCCTATGAGGCAATCTGTGAGGAAGGCCCGTGATCAGCAGTGGAGTTTTGATAGACTGTAATGATGATGATGATCATGATGATGATGATGATTGATGATGATGATGGTCGAAATGCACCATGATTTCAAATTACTCATATGTGAAATTAATCATAAGAGAAACACTAAGTATTATTATTGCATAGACTTACACATTCTTCTTCTACTTTAGCTATTTTTAAGCTAGCCTCCTCTTCATTTGTGTTTTCCATTTTGATTGTTTCTATTCTGCGTTGCATATCTTCATTAATTAGCCTGTAAAAATTGTGTAAGTTTCAATACTTAAATCTAACACCATATAGAAAAATTATCAATGATAGGTAAACAGTTAAAATCATAACTTTGTAGTACAAATTTTCACACGCCTATTGTATGAGGGTGACACTGAAAGTTCTTAGAAAATCAAAAACTAAACAAACTAGCAAGTTATTAGTTTTATTATATCTTTTAAAAATAGTGTCCATTTACATCAATACATCGCTGCATCCGATGAAACCACTGAGAAAAGCACTTTGTCCACTCGTCCTTCGAGGTCTCTTCGACGGCATTTTGAAACACAGCCACTGCTTCCTTCGCGTCCATAAAACTTTCCCTTAACGTCCTCCTTTTATTTTAGGACATAAATAAAAATCGCACATCGGGGCTATAGGGCGGGTGACCCAGTAATTCCAAATCTGACGTTGCCAAGTAGTCGATTGTTTGCTTGGCGGTGTGCGACGAGGAGTTGTCGTGGTGCAGGAGGATCCTACTGCGAGGTCGTTTCTCCCGAACTTTTTCCAAGACAAGTGGTAAACAATTGTTAGTGTACCACTCTGCAGTAACTGTTTTTCGATCCTCTAAAACAATTGTTGCGTAATGACCTGTCCCTCCGAAGAACGAGGCCACCATCTGTTTTCCCACGCTTCGACCTCTCTTCACTTTAGTTGGCAACTCCTTGGAAGGAAACACCCAAACCGCAGACTGTCTCTTAGTTTCAGGATCATAACAATAAATCCAGCTTTCGGCACCCGTAAGTATATCGAACACAGCATTTGAGTCACCTCCTTTAAATTTTTGAACCATTTCACGACACCAATCAACACGACGGAATTTTTGGGCCTCTGTCAAATTATGAGGTACCCACCGGGCACAAAGTTTCCTGACCGCTAAATATTCATGGAGGATTTTGTGCATTTGACTCATATCGATGCCTAAGCTTGTCCGAATCTGCTGATAAGTCACTCTTTTGTCAGTCTCTATCATACGCCGCACAACACCGATGTTATCTTCAGTCGTCGCCGTAGAAGGCCGTCCCTCACGCAGATCATCGGTGAGATTAGTGCAACCTTTACAAGTGGCCAGTTCTAAAAACTTTCCGTGTCGCCCTCGTATTAAGTGCTCAGAACTGCACGTCTTCCGTTAGTTGCAAGCTATCAAAATTCCACTGCTGAACAAAGGCCTCACCTATAGATTGCCTAATAGGGGGGATATTTGCTATAGTTGCCATGCTTGGGAGGCGATTCTTAATTTTAAGTTGTTACTGGGAAGATGCTATTGTCTATCTCGTAATCCGTTTTTCTCTGACGACACTCACGGGACAAAATGTTTTTTTTTTATAGGATAGGGTGACCAACGAGCACACAGTCCACCTGATGGTAAGTGGTTGCTGTGACCCACAAAGAATCAAAATGCAGATGCGTTGTCACTCGTGAGGACTAAGATGGAATGCCTTTTTTCCAGTAAAAAGGGTCTCCGGTTCTCTACACTCACCATATGAAACACAGCAGTATTAAGCTGCTATTTGACGCTGGTATTCTGTGAGAGCATGGTCCTTCCCCTGTCGAACCGACCCATTCGTGCTACAACTATACTACTAATATAGCTGCAGCATGGCTCTACCACACAAGTAAATTTTTATTGGATATTCTCACACTACCACTATATTATGGTCAATATATTATATTTTTTAAACATAATATTAAATAAAGAAATTTTACCCGAGTTATTTAGAAAATCATCCTCTATTTAAAAGATAATATATGAACAAGTGTAACTTATGCACAACTCCACCATTATTAGGGCATAATCCAATCAGAAATGAGCAGGATTACATTTAATCACTGTGATGGAATTGTTAGCTAAAACCTTTAATCTCATATAAAAATGGAATGCCAACCAATCAGTGACAATGTGTATGTTTCTAAATGCCACGCACATTTAAAACAAAATTAATTGGTTTCGAAATTGTGACATAACTAGCTGTCCCGGCGACTTCGCCCGCGTGGAATTTACTACGATTTCATGGGTTTTAAATTTTTTGCGCGGCACCTTTATTATTTTTCCAAAATAAAAGCATCCTAAGTTACTTATTTTTTTCTAAAAGGGAACTATAGTCTTAATATAAAAAAGACTCCCGAGCTTAACTTACGCTAGTCAGACCTGGGTCTTCACCGAAAAAGTAAAAAACAAAATTTCATCTTGTCAACATGCAATGGAACGTAGTATACTGAAACTGAGAAAAATACAAAAAACGAGAAATGCAGACATCCGCATGAAAACAAAATTAACAGATGCTCTTAATTTTAGTTTGAAATAGAAATGGAACTGGGCAGGGCACTTGTCGAGGTACAAAGATAAGAGATGGACTTACCAAACAACTAAATGGCAGGGCCCAAAAGGCAAAAGAAACGTGGGAAGACAGAAGAAAAGATGGTGTGATGACATAATAAACACAGCAGGAAAAAGTTGGATGCATGCGGCCAAAGACAGGGAAAGATGGAAAAGCATGGAGGAGGCTTTTATCCACAAGAGGGCCACATAACAAAAAAAATGGGAAGGAAATTATTATAATTAGATATAATATATTTGTAAGAATTGTTAAGTGGAAAATAAAGCTGAAATAATAATAAATAAGTTACTCCTTATAACATCAGCTATCTGCCAATGAAAGCCCCGTCAAAATCGGTCCAGCCGTTTTGGAGATTAGCCAGAAAAAACAGACTGTCAGACAGACAGACAAAAATTTTAAAAATTGTTTTTTGTTATTAGTACCGCATATAATTTCATATGCATCTAATAAAAAGCTGTTATTTTAACATTACAAACAGACACTTTAATTTTATTTATTTGTATAGACAACTGTATAGATGTTCTTGATGACTTTGTTGCACCATTATAAACTAAGCTATGGAGCACCATAGCCTTCTCAGAAATGGGAGAAGGCCTGTTCCCAGCAGCAGGCCTTTTACTTTTATATCTTACTAGCTGATCCCGTGACTTCGCCCGCGTGGAATTTATTGCGATTGGATGTCATAGGTTTTAATTTTTTTGTGCAGAACCCTAATTCTTTTCCTAAAACAAAAGTAGCCTAAATTGCTCCTTATAACATCAGCTATCTGCCAGTAAAAGTCCCATCCAAATCGGTTCACAGATTTTTGCGTGATGCGTGTTCAGACAGACGTCGTGTTAGAGTTTTGTTATAGAATAGATACGATAAGTAAGTAAGGTGTAAGAATATCTATTACCCCATATCATCACATGGGTGTTGTAAGAGGCGATAGAGCGAAACAAATAAGGAGATGGGCAACTGCTTTTTCCTAATAATGACTACAAATAAAAAACTGTGGTTGCTAACCTTTTCGCCAAGTGTGGTAACTATGGCAAATATACCCTATGGGGCAATCTATGGGATAGGCCTACGTTCAGCAGTGGACTTTAATAGGCTGTAACGGATCTCGTGAACAAATTTTCTAATTAGCTGTGGCTTTAAAATTGCATAGTTAATCACCTGTTGAGATATGTCTGTAATTCAATTTCCTGTGATATTCTCTTTTCCTCTTGAACATTCCATCTTTTTTTCCTTGCAATACGGAGCTGTGCAGCAATGTCATCACCAAAATTTAGCTTTTGTTCTTTTGCCAAGTCATTTGCTACAAAAAAATTATGGTCACTAATGAGAATCGCACTAATAATTAAAATTTGTATTTTAAGTAGGATCAAAGTATTTTTAGTTAAATTTAATAACATATTCACTACCAAATAACTTCCGGATATTTTATAACAGTGTCTCAAGTGTAATACAGTAAAAAAAATATTGTTCTTCTAGAGCTCATCATCATTATCATTACAGCTCATCAATAGTCCACCACTGACCATTGGCCTTCGACATCAACCTTCTGTATCTCGTCATCGTCGCTCCATGTAGTGTGGCAGCCCTACAATTTTTTCACTAGAACAAAGCAGCCACTTGAGTACCTTTTTCTTACCCTGTGCTGTTGGATACTCAAGTTATATGACCAGCTCATTGCAACTTCAGCTTACTGAGCTATTGGTCAACGTCGGTACAAATTGTAAGATCTTTAAATTTATAAAAATCACAATTTACAGAAATATTTGGAAAAATTTTGGTGACATTATTTTGACTCATGTTGAGATTCAAATCCAGAATCTGCAACTCAGCAATCAAGTACTGTGCTTACTATCACATGTGATATTTCAATGTACATTCATAGAATTGCCACAATGCTATATATAGATTTATCTACCCAATGTTCATATTATTAGACATGCACTATTATGTCATCTAAGTCTGTGTATTATTTTCTGTTTATAACCCAACATTTTGTCCCATATTGCAACACCTAGCAAATGATACATACATAAACAAACACCTACGCCTGTCACCCAAAGGGGTAGGCAGAGACTACGCCTCCTTTACATTCATATCGGTTTTTTTTATAGGATAAGGTGACAAACGAGCACACAGTCTACCTGATAATAAGTGCTTGCTGCGGCCCATAGACATCTACATCTATCCTCATTTGTGAATCAAAATGCAGATGTGTTGTTACTCATGAGGACTAAGATGGAATGCCTCTTTTCCAGTAAAAAGGGTCTCCGGTTCTCTACACTCACCATACGAAACACAGCAGTGTTAAGCTGCTATTATATGCTGGTATTCTGTGAGAGTGTGGTCCTTCCCCGTTCGAGCCAACCCATTCGTGCTACAACTATACTATTAATATAGCTGCAACATGGCTCTACCACATATAGTAAAAGGTACTCTTAATCTGGCCCATCTTCAATATATTTAAGATAAATGATAATATATCTAATTTCATCCTAACATTAATATTATTACTGTCGCAATCCTTTATCAGAATTCTGTTATAGGCATTTTTATAAATGACATGAATTCCGGGAAAAAGATTTGGAGCAAAATACCTACTATTTTGCTCTATAAGCTCAATGTTTACCATTAAGTATTATATTATATTAAGTTTTCATAACTATTTTTTTACTAGATGGTAAATGGCTTTTTCTCTCTAGGAAAATGCACTCTTTATACTGTTCCAATTTAATAGATAGAAAGAGCTAATACAGGCTACGTTTTGTACTGGTCCTTAGAGGTGACAATGAGTTGGTAGCTTTATTTGATTGGGGTTACTGCAGTAGCCGCTTACTGATAAGGATATATATTTGTACATAAATTTATAGCTTATCCTTTTGCTATTGCCAAATTCATTTTCTACCGACTTCAAAAAGGAGACAGTACTCAATTCAACTGTATGTTTTTATGTGTTACCTCAAACTTTTTACTGGGTGAACCGATTTCAATGATCCTTTTTTTTATTTGAAAGCTGGTGCTTCACATGTGGTCTTAAGGTCTGACCAATTGTTTTTGAGTTATTCTTAACAACTTATATTGAAGTTGGTGGTACAAAATTTTTAATTTTAAAGTTTAAGTATTAAAAGACTATAATTACTCTACATTTTCATCTATATGTAAATTAAAATTGGTTTATATAAAAAAAATTCATGAACAACTTCTTCATAATAAACTAAAGTTACATTTGCATAAATTTATGTGGAGCTTCTGTGTAATAGATTTCATGATAAAAACATCCAGAGTAGAACCAGAGTTACTGACATTATGGATTAGTAGGTTAAAGTGGCAATGGGCTGTCATATAATTCAAAAAGCCGACAACCGTTGGGGAAGAAAGGTCCTTGGCGACAGCCTTATACCGGTAAGTAAAGTATAGGGTGGCCTTTCACTAGAGCAAGTGACAAGCGGAAAGGTGGCTCAGGACCATGCTTTGTGGCATTTCTTGGAGGAGGCCTGTAGCAGCAGTGGACTTGTGATAGGCTGTAATAACTGAAAACATTACATACATTACATATTGTTTTTTTTTAATCTATGACTTTCTTGACACAATACTTTCATTTTTATTAAATATAAATACAAAATATATGACACTGTAAACAATGAGCACAGCTTTTGAAACACTCTCATCTATATATAAATAGAAGTATAAGTTCTTTAATGGATTACTTTAAATACATTCTAGACTTCACTTTATAACCATAAGTAAAATTCAGATGTAGGTAATTATAACAGGCGACAGACATACTAGTCAGGCAAATTAACATGCTGATGACTGTTACCTTATTTGTTGAGAATAAGTGATAGTTACTTTATGCAACCACAAATAAGAGAATATTAAATTTAATACTGGACTAGGTTTGGGGAGAATAAACGAGTTTCTTTGATTCATACAATAAGAATTTAAAAGCTTAGGTATTTTAATAAAAAGTATTGCAATTAATTTTAATAAGCAATTTCTATTATAGACACTAGTATTTTACACAAATTACAAATTTATAGTACATAGTGTATTAAAACTGGATTTTTGTACCAAGCTTTTGTCATTTACCATTCATCCTGGTATATAACAATTAGTATGTATCAAAATTACCTCTATGTAGATGTTTAATCGCCTCGTCATAGTATTCAAGTTCAACCAGAGCTTGTCCAAGGAAAAAATGACCCTTGACCTGATTATTATCAATATCCAAAGCGCGACGACAATCATTGCACGTCGCTTCCCATCGCTTCATCTTCAAATGACACAACGCACGATTTGTGAAGTATGTGGCCACGGATGGGTTTTTTATCTGAAACGTTTATGAATACGGGATTTCACGTTCATAGCACCACAATAGAAATGAGGAATCACGACGTAACACTCACGATAGCCTTTGTGTAACAGTTCATAGCATCTTCAAATCTTCGTAGACTAAACAATCTATTACCCTGCTCTTTTAATTCTTTGTCGGTCAGGTTAGCAGTCGAATACATATGTTTGCTCATTTTTATTGATGTTCTATTCCTTAATGATTACACAATTATCACAAGTTCATACTTTTAAAGAGTTGGCTTTTTAACGCACTTATATTTGCGCAAAGAAAATAAGCAGAAGAATCTTTATTTTCTTTCTAGAAATTAGTGTCTAATCTTAGGTACTGATTGTCAGCATATTTATTTATCTATGATTGTCAGATATGAGCAGCGTTGCCAACACCAATTTGTCAAATTCCCCGAAAATCCATGTCAAATTTAAATTTAGGGACAAAACTTCAACAGTTTCCCCACGAATTCCCCTCATTTTTATTTTAAGAAATGAAACAATTTTCAACTAATTTAATAAAATTTATTTTTCAATAACATTTTTTTCTTTTTACTGAATTTTTATTCACACTTTCCATATTTTTGTAACAAGCATTTTACTCTATGGCGTATTTTTAATTCCTTCCCTTCTTGGCATTTAAAAGTACCGCAATATCTGCATTTATATGCATAGGGTACTCTGCTATAAAATTAAAAAACAAAGAAATGAAAAGCATTAAATGATACTCAAAAGTTGCCGAAATAAATCCGAAAATTAAATGTGGTGCAATGAAGATAATTTAAAAAAGGGAGTCATTCGATATTCATAAGTAACCTGAAAAAATGTTAAGATAAGTATTTATATTTCTTGAAAAAATGTTCTGATATGGGCTATCAATTTTCAAAATCCCCGCATTTTACCAAAATCCCCAACCAACTTAAAATTCCCCATAATTTGGGGAATTCCTCGCATGTTGCCAGCGTAGCCAACGTTTAGCGATGTGTGTCAGAATTAAGGTCGTTATACACTTCGACAAGTACAGTAGCGAGTTAACTTGCGAATCTGGCGAGTTAAGTAGAAAATCTCGTTTGAACGGTAATCAGTGAGTTAAGTAGTAAATTAACTATTAAGTTGGATGGGATAGCCGGCCGGTCTATTCTTCGGCGAGCCAACTTCGAAGTATTGCCCTTACGAGCGTCCCCCGTCACTCACTAATTAACCTTGCCGCACGTGTGAACGAGCGAGTTTAGTTCAGTGCATAAGTTGATAGGACGCAAAGTGTTCGCGTTCGGCCCTCAAAATATAAATTTGTACTTTTTTAGCTAAACTCGCCACGAAGACATTTGAACGCTATTGCCCACTTAACCGTTTACTATCAACTGCCCTGTAACTAAAAGCGTTACTATTACTTGTCGAAGTGTAAATCGGCCTTCAGAGTCGGAGTCGGAGGAGCTATGAATGTAGGCGTCATTTTGTCGGTAGTCTGTCATCAACCTGGCAATATTATTTACCGATAGCGTAAAACCTCTAGTCTAGATGGTAGGAATATTATTCCACTTAGGAGTCCGTCTGGGTAGGTGTCACCCTCTTATCTACTTCTGCTGCCAAATAGCAGTGCTTGTACTGCTGTGTTCCGGTCTAAAGAGTATAATTATATAGAGTCAGTATATTTACAGGCTGTGAAGTATTCGATTTTAGTTCAGAGATAACAACGCATTTGTAGCCATCTTTGTTTGAAAATGGCTGCAGGTGTCCATGGAATCCAGTAGCCACTTACCATCAGACTGTAAGTTCGTTTGTCACTTTGGTTTTATAAAAAAAACTTGGTAACACCGTTAAAAATCATATTATAAATCATAATAATGTCGTCTTCAAGACCAACTTTTTATCGCGGAGGCCAGTCTCCACGGAGACTTGCGTTCGTGCAGGCAGTATAGGGCTTGAGTGGTTGCCCATCACAGGTTTACTATTTCTTACCCAAAGGTTGAAGTATAGCTATTCAACGAGGAAACGCAGGCAGCATTCTTGGCACTAAACACTGAATTGTGTATTATTATGTTATGTAAATAAAAAAATAGCATCGATAGTGCGGCTATCGATATTACTTTACTAACAGAACTTAATTGATATTTGAATGACGATAAAAATACCATATAGTATCTATCGTATAATGTGAATTTCTTTCTCTCGTATAATGTCGCATTGAATGTAAGGCCTTTTTCAGTTTTTTTTATTTCATACAATATCCTTCTGTGCTTAACAAATACTGCTATTATTATATAATAGAAGCCTATTTGCTTAATATTGTACTTGCATATATCAAGAATACCGATAAAATAAAAGTTTACGATCTTCTATCAAGCACAATGTAGGTATACACCTATAGCTAGGAAAATATTTCAGGTATAACTTTTTAGTAAATTACCAAACATTAAAGTATTTAGGGGTAGTTTCCAGGTGGCTTGCCTTCTAAAAATATATAATATTTCCTATGTCTAGATACTAACGTATTAATTCCCTTTAGTGATAAGTGTTGAAATATGTGGATCCTTTATTATCTGGCCAGAAATAATGTTACAATCACAAATTTAGTATAAACTGACGTTAGAATAGATTGGCAATGCAAAAGACTAAAAGCATAGTGTACGCGTATGTTAGAGCGAGAGAGATAAGCTAGACCACAGAACACAATTAAGTGTCTCCCACACAGAAGCGGCTTGCGGTGGCGGCCAGTTGTATTCGCTCGCAATATAAGTGAGTCTGCAAACTCGTGTGGCCATGGGCGCATGCCCCGCCACTTTTGCCAACGCATGTGTGTCAGCGAGTATGCGAACAGTCGGTGGCAGCTGCGCGGTCACTTGCAAATTTTTACAACAGGTCGCGTGTACCGCGTGAAAAATAACGCTAAATTCAGAGATTTTAATAGAAACAGTGCAAAATTATCCAAGACTTTATGAAAATTCGCACCGTGATCACAAAAGCATTAGGATTAAAAAAAAAATATATGATAATCGATCATAGCACAGACACCACACTAATGGCGCTTCAGGCCGCAACTGCGACCGCGGTGGTGTGTTGTTGCATCGGCTGGGGCCGCGGCTCGCGGTTAGCCGCCACCGCAAGCCGCTTGTGTGTGGGAGACGCTTTACTCTCTACCGAGAGAAGAACGCCAACATCATACGAAAAAAAAGGGCACGTGTTTATGAGTGTACATTACAAGCGCCACGGTGGGCACCCATATAAAACTTTTTAACGGGAATTTCAATCCTTTGTATTTTGTAACTTTTAAACTTTTTGTTTATTTAAGATAAATTTGAGTAATTTTGGCTCGAGCCTCACAAACCTATTGGGTGAATTCCCATACATTTGAGCGGTTGCATCAAAATTACTCGAATTTACTTTAGAGGAGTATGTGGGATAAAATATTTATATATAAAAATTACGTGTCACATTGTTTGTCCGCGATGAACTCCTAAACTACTGAACTGATTTCAATGAAATGTTTCACAATGTGTGCAATTTGGTCCAACTTGAGAGATAGGATAGTTTAACCCGATAAGTGACCCTCAATTGTTTTTATTGTGAATTTAATGATTTTTTTAGGACACATGGTCGTCGGAAAGGGCAGAACAACGTCTGCCTGGTCAGCTAGTAAAACTATAAATAGGTATAGTTATGTAATTTTATTTTCTGGACGAAAGATTGTTTTATAAACTATACATTATTATTGATGTCTTTATTGCTTTTGCACATAATATTTCAATGCATGTTATTATATATGTTATTGTCAGAGATTTATTCTTCACATAACATTTACGTAAATTTAAATCAGCAAAATTGTCATGGAGAAAATTTAATTTAGCCCAAATACGTGATCTGAAACAGATACAATTCGAGTCAATATAGAAATAATCCCTACAAATAACGGTCAATAAATTTAAAATGTTTATAGACCTACCACAATATTGCCATAAGTTTTTCTTTTCCTATTTTAGAAAACCTGCGGAAAGTGATCAGATGGTTTTGTGCTTTTTGTTTGCACAAAACTTAACTTACTTTTGATTATGATCACACATCGTGCATAAAATCTTTATTGTATATTCACGACGATATTATTAATGTATTTGCGAAAAAATGCCTATAAACGAAAATTAAGTATTCTGAATCCATAATAACTGAATTTAAGCAAAAATCAATAATAAATATTAAAATCTAAACCTATGAAATAATGTTGAATCAATTTCAGAAACTATTCTCAATGTGAAAGACGTTGACAAACAAATGTAATTTTTTTTTCTTCTTTTCATTCATGGCTTCGATTCTGCTATGCGCTGAAAATTTCGGGAATCAAGGAAGTGACACAACATTACTATTTAAAAATGTATATATTGCTTTTCGAAGTATTCTCCGCGAAATTTGACACATTTTTCCATACGATGGAACCAATCATTTTCCATACGATGGAAGCAACCATTCCATTCGGAAGTTGGGGTCTCCAAAATGGCCGTTTTGTAGGCGTCCACAGCTTCTTCAGGTGATGAAAATCTCTGTGCACGCAATTTATTCTTTATTTTAGGGAAAGTATAGAAATTATTAGGGCTTAGGTCGGGGCTGTACGGCGGATGGTCTAATAATTCTATGTTTTCTTGCTCTAAAAACTCTTTTGTTCTGTGTGCGGTGTGAGAACTCGCATTGTCGTGATGGAGGATGATGCGGCGGTTGCAGTTCTCTTTACGGAGTTCAGAAACGACCTGTGGCAAACAAATGCTAGCATACCATTCTGCATTAACCGTTCTTTGTCCCTCAAGAGGAATAGTCGTAACATGGCCGGTTTTGGAGACAAACGTGGCCACCATTTTTTTTGCAACACTCCGTGAACGAACAATTTTTGTTGGCTTTAACTCATTTTCGAACACCCAAACTCGTGACTGGTTTGTTGTTTCGGGTTCGTACGCGTATATCCTGGATTCGTCACCTGATACGATGTTGTATCCTGCGTGGAATCTTTCGAGAGTTCTGATGCACCAAGTAACGAGAGCCGCTTTTTGCTCTTCACAGAGCGAATGCGGTATCCATCGGGAAAACAACTTTTTACACCTAATTGTTCATACAAGATTATTTGTATTTGACTCATGCCAATGTCTAAAGTTGCCTGAAATTTGCGGTATGTCACATGTCGATCTTCCTCAATCAGCTTACGCAC